CGAAATGCATGTTGGTGCCAATAAAGCATCATGGTACTTTATCATTTATCATTGTCTGAACGTCGTGTTGTATGAAATCGTGATGGGTGGGGCTTATCGTGAGTTGAGAATGTTTGAAGCATCACGAACTTCATGGCACGCACAAATGAGCAGGCAATGCATTTACAAACATTCATTTTGAGTACCCGGTACCTACATGTAGTCTTAATTATTGTGAAAACATTATCTTGCAAAAATGTATATGCCCTTCATCCACGAAAAGTTTCTTTGAAGAGTTTTATATTTGGTTTAGTAGTTTGTGAACTCTGCGATAGCAAAACCAAATGGCCATAAGTTTTATGTTAGTCCCGTCACCTGCATACCTGAACTTGTGCTTTTCAATTTTACTTGATTTATAGCAAGATTTTTTAGAATTTGTTTTGAATTAAAATTTGCTCGCACAATTTAAAAAAGGAACTTAACAAAATAAGCAAATACATGTATCTACAACAAAACTGATAAATCAGAATAACTTCAAACCCTCTTTTTCTTCAGATGCAATTTCACAATGCGACAGCTAAATTACACCTTGAAACATAATTTCAATACCTGGAAAATAGAAAATGAGCCAAGACACCCTATATATTAACCTGGATCTCCAGCCTCCTACTTTCTCAACAACGTAGAAAGTGGGATAATAATCCTTTAAATATCTCTTCATGAATCAGAATTATATTACCGGTAGACACTAGATATGACACCAATCAAAAGCATGAAGCCGCTATCAATACATCAAATCAAATTTGCAAGGTACAAATGTATAGTCTACAAATGTGATACCAAACCTACAGGTTACTCATCCATACATACAGGGGCCCAATAGATGGAGGTTAAAATCACTGCTCAAATACACTCCATTTCAAGATAAACTCTAAACTCAGAAGCTCGTTTCTGTTAAAGACTTTCTCCTGCTATAGAATGTAAGATACCTGAGACAAATTGCAAAATGAGAGAAAGAAAAGGGTGAAAAGGGAGAAGAAATCCTAGATCAAATACTGGAGGCACACCTTCTCCTATGTGCCATGAAAAGACAAGGATGGGAGCAAGCTTAGAGCCTCCTTATCGGTGTCACTTTATACCGCCTTTACCTGCAAACCGTAATCAAAGGTGTTACGAGGAGGACGGAGGTGAGACAAGGGCTCGGAAAGTGGGTCGCACAAGGTCTCACCGATACCCACGCCTCCAAAGCAATTTAAATAACTTCATTTTAAGATGAGGGTGGGTGCGATATAGAGCTGGTTTTCGATCAGTGCCCAGGAGTAAATGACTCTTAGCAAAAGAAATGAATCCGTAATGAGACAGTTCTCAAGTAACTCACAAATCCAGGATCATGAAAAGAATACTGGATGATGAGAACTTTGCTGGAGCGGGATTTATTTCAGGAAATAAAGGGATTGTGCCCCATTTCTTGATTAATTGACTATCCCATGACCCCAGAAAGAAAGAAATTACAAGCTTTACGTGTATAACAATAGGCAATGATGCAGAGTACATTGCTGTTTGCTAGACAACATAGAATTTCACAGAGGTGAAAAGTTAATTTGATACTTTTGATCTCGCCCAGATCTATGTCATGATTTCTTCATGACTTTTAGTGAGATATACAAGCATATATGTGTATTTTGTTTTCTTCTAAACGGAGCAAATGTAGAAATGCATAAGACATGGGCTGCCCGCAAGAAAGTCATTCCTGCCAAAGGCAATACATACTTGAAGCTCTTACAGCCTATGTATTTGCAGGCAGGAGACAATATATCTGTTTTAATATCAGAAATGGGGTTCAAAAGAAGCAGAACACAGACTAACAGACACATAATGGTACTTGGAGATTAAAATACAAATGGTTTTTCGAGCACTCGTAAATCGGACCCACAAGAAAGACGATATCCTTTCTTTGGACTATTATTTTCCATACTTGAAAGGAACAAATGAGCTACCAAACTGTGCCCCTTTCTTCTCCCCTCTTTAAACCTTCCGAGGGGACTCGTTCTCTCCTTCGAAGCTGATTTGATGCAAAAGCATGATTTGAGTTCGCGGCTCGGCTTTCTGGTAAATTGTGGCGTAGTGTAAATTTACATGCCCAAAGATGATGGATGGTACTTGAATTCTAGACTTCAATTACACTGGGGGAGGTAAACATGATATGCGCATTGAATAAAGATCCTTTCAACAAATCGTTGAGAACGAATTTGGGGTTGATATTCTCCCTCTGTCTCTCTCGAAATGTAAGAATCTTCTTCTTTTTTTTTTTAAAGAGTGTTGAAGATCATTTTTGCTGCTCTATTTTGTCAACAAAGTGCTTTCAGTGCTTTTGAAAAAGTTTGATGTTCCAACCCCTGGTATCTTGATATCAAACTTTAATTCATAGTTATACATAAATACTTTTTAATATGGACATGTTCAACAGAACCCTTTTAAAAAAAACTAGTCACATGTTTTCCTCACTTACATGTATGTGTCTTCCATTCCTTTTAAAACTTCTCTCTTGCTCCTCCTCTCCTTTTCATTTTTCCTTTAATCTACTCCTACAGCGTATTCCTTCATCCTCTACCCATCTCTCCCCCTCTTCTCTCCTCTCCTTCCATCATCCCTCCTTTCTAGTCTTTCAAATGCCATTTTTCCTCTCTCCCTCCTACTCCCATTTCTTCATTCTCGCTTCTCCTTTCTTCTTTCTACTCCTGCTTTCTTTTCATCTCCTTCCCATATGCCTATTCTATCGTTCTCACCCTCCTCGCATTCCTTCTCTCTTTCATATCTGATGACCTTGAGTATTTGTATTCATTTCGTATCTCTTAAAGATGAAGTTGAGTTCTGGTCATGCGATTGCATTATGAAAGAAACGGTGTGGAATCGACCAGAAAAGGTTTATCATCTAGCGTATAAGAATTTGTGTGTATTGCAAGGTTCTAGAATCATCAAAATGATAAGAAATTTGGCCAAGTCTTGGTAAAGTTACAAACACTGTACACAGAAAGATGTATATGGGACTACACGAACACGTGGCGTAAAAATCCCACCCCCGAGTTTTACGATGTTACATGGCATATTTAGATTATGAAGGCATTTGAGGAGCCATGCTTTTCAGGGAACATGTCTTATCTGATGTTCTTCCACACTTGCATAATAAGAATGATAACGCTCACAAATTATTTTCCACCTCTTCCCAGAACTCAACCTTCTCTTTAATACCTCATCTGCGCTCTCCTTTTTATTCATACCATCGATACGCCTTCATATATTGCATTCCAACCATCACCCAAATTCAGACTCCCTATCATTACAAATATAACAATACCTCTGCTAAGCTATCTATTTCATATATACCATTGCTACGCCTACATGCAATGCATTTCAACCATAGCTCACATCCAGACTCGCTATCGCTACAAGTATGACAACACACAAACAAATATATCGCATTCACTCCTATCTCTTTAACAACATAACACTTAATAGCCTCTTAACTGCTTTGAAATCAGAGGACGATGAAGCACTCACTCTGCCGCACTCTGGAGTGCTGCCCGATCCATGTTTGATGTTATTAGAACACAAAACAACTCTGGAGATAGGGGTCCCTACTAATAGTATTCTCACACTGACAGATTATGTGACAGTGCATATTTGCTGATATCACAGCTGAGGAATTCGGGTGCTCGTGTTTCTAGGGAAAGCAATATCACGTTTCTCCCGGCCCCGCAACATCGAATGTTCATCGATGGAAACCAAACTCCGGATTCGCTGACAGCAAGGTTGAAGTGTTGTTGTTTTGGGTTTTCTTCAAATTAATTTTCAGAGTTCACGATCATGTTTGAATGATTCATTCAACCTCAGAAAACATCATTAAATACCCTTACTCCGTTTTAGTTTTCTCTTTTTTAACCATACCAACGGCCACTATAAATGTTTCAAAATAATCACTACAAAAGGGTGATCATACAAGAGGAAAACTTAAAAGTAATTTTTATATTAAGAACATCACAAAATGCACCATCGTATAGTGATAGCGGGTGTACACACGTGATAACACTAGAATCTTATTTAGAAACTTTGGATAATGATACTTGCTTGAGAGTTGAGAGAGGCCGCTGTTGGCTCATATGTCATGATATGAAATGTAGGACTCCTTTTTCTTAATTTTACAAAGCAGCTTATTTTTTGTACAATGCTAAGCAATTGAATAAACATTAATCGCAATATAAACTTTAATCGGAACAAAATGACTGCTTTATTTGCTGGTCCATTTATGGATGTTCATTTTGATACAAACATTGCAAGGCCAGCTGCAGGGTTTGGTTGAACTGGATCCAATTTCCCAAAATCATCCATATTACCATGATATCTAACTTCATCATTCATAATCTTGTTTTAAGGACAAAGTTAATATATGACAAAAAGTAAAAGATACAATATATCAATTTTATTTGAAAACCATCTAGGGCACTGCAGGGGTTCAAAACACGAAACCAACTAGCCTCATCTCAATCCTATTAATAAAAACACCTAATAAGAGCTATCACACAGCTAGTTTTGATGAGCTGTTCTTCCACACCCCGTTATTAGGAGCATATTCTACACATGACAAAATTGCTTTCATGTTTTTCAATTAATCAGAATCCCTATCTCGTGTTGGTAATAGTATGTTCCTTTGTAATACCTGTGTTGTGATCATACTGAGATGCATTGAACCGCTTGATTGGCCCACCAGAGCTCACAGTGAGAGTCTGCTGTTTCAGCACATTTCGTAAAAATGTTTGGTGATGCTGTTGTTCACATTTTGCAACTCACACATACAGTCAAACCTGTCTATAGTGACAAAAAAAAGTGGTCTTTGTAGACAGGTTCCTTTACATGTTTCCTTTACATCTTTCAATGAGAAACCATTTTTAAGGGAAACAAAAAACGTGGTCTTTGTAGACAAGTGGTCTTTGTAGACAGGAGGTCACTAAAGCAGGTTTGACTGTATATGGGCATTTCCACGGTAATAGGGTACTTCTGTGTGTGAAAGAATAAAGCGCTTACAGAAAAATTAAATAAATATCCTGTGGCTTTCTGTGTTTTTATTTTCATTGTTGATGGTATAAAGAAATAAAAAAGACAATTCCATGCACTAATAATGTCATTTGGTTGTGTTGTCCTCTTTTCTTTAATGATTATTATTAAAAATTCCAAAGTACAATCAGTAATTGTTGAGTGGTGTGATTTTGAGGGTGATGCAAATAAAAATTCTAAAAAGAAATTGATGTTTCATGTTTTGAAAAGAGATTTTGATGCGGGTGGATTACGGCATTGATCATAGTTACGGCGATTGAGCTTTAAAGAGAGAGAGTGAGAGAGTTGAAAATTACATTGGCTGAATGAGAGATTCTGTCCACCTGTGTTACGTACGTTCAGAGTGAATTTTCCCACAATTATTAGTTGTGTCACCCAACAGTTTTATGTGCTTTGCAACTCTTTTGATGAAGGTTGAAATGTAGACCAAGAAAAAAATCGTCAAAATAAACGCAAATAGAGATAAAATCTATTCAAAATTTGGAGTGCAATATTCGGTCCAACTCACGAACGTACGTAACAACTAAAAAAACGGACCGTGGCGTCCGCGAATATGACGCATGGATAATCCACGTATCAGTCAAGTGAACCAAGGCACTGCAACGTTTGATTGTACTTGCAATCCATGCGCTGACTTCTACAATCGCGGGGCCGTGTAGCTAGCTTCTGTCCAGTTTGTGCGTACGTTCACGGTTGCTGGTAGTTAGAACGACACGTACGCACGATGGACAGAAATGCTATTCGGTCTTATTTACGTACGTTTTTTCGCGGGGTTTCGTGAGCAGCAGACGACATCCGATCGTAATCATTGGAGTATCAACTCAACATTAGATTAGATCTAGGCTTTGAAAATCGTGGAATGGTACGTATTTGTTATTCAAAATCTTTTTGAAATACAGTAAAAGATCATGTTTCCGAAAATGAGTCATGTGTAACTTTAGTGGTGTACGATTATATTTTCCTCTTCTTGTCTAGCTAGTGGTCTGCTAGTGCTAAATTTTAACGTGTAGTGATATTATTACATTACAGTCCCATATGTAGCTTTTCATGTATGCAACACTGGTAACTCTCGCCGATCTCGCATTTTCAATAGGTGCAACCGCAACCCAATTTAGCTGCAGATGATACCCAGAATGATGTGATGACCACCAGACCAACTGGAGATGATACCCAGAATGATGTGGAGATCACCGCCGACAGACCAGTGGCAGATGTTCACCAAGCAGCCGATGAGTACCAATGTGGAGACTTTGTATTGGTCAATATATCAGTCGGCAAACGTGGAAAAATTCTGGAATACGTTGGAGAAGTAAGTTTGTATGGTTTCATTTACTTGCAAATTATTTTTATGCTTAGCTGTGAAATAAATGTAATACGAAAATCATTACAAATTTCTTGTTAAGAGGATTGTTGAGGAATTTATTTAACATTGGAATAACCTGCACAATAAATTATTTTACTTTTCAATGGATGACATTTTATACACAAGAATTATTTCATTATTGAGCCTACACTAAATTATACAAAATATTGCATCTACATTACCTGAGTCATATCATTGCATTGATACTTTACAATCCTTCTGTTAATCATTTAATGCCTTCATGTTTCAAAACCAGGAAATATCTATCTGTTTGGAGTGAAAATGTGCATGATTACTATTAACGTGAGAAAATCTGAACAAGTCAAAAAAGAAAAAAAATACAAATACATTTAAATTTGAATTAGCACAATGGATTTTAAACTCACGATTTTTTTCATCTTTAATTCTTTTGATTTCAGGTGAAAGATGTTGTGGGAGAAGATCTTGTCATCAAGTACATGGCCAAGTCGGAGTCTCATCCGGGGCTATTTATATGGCCAGCACGTGAGGATGTGTCTCAGGAATGTAGAAAACAGATAGTGAAGAAAATGCCTAACCCTGTCCTTCGGGAAGACATCAGCAGCACTAGATTACAATTTTTCACCTTTGCAGAACTCTCCCCAGAATCATGACTTGCTCCATACAATTTATGAATGTCTTATTACTCATAGATTGGTTAATAATGAATCAAGTCATTCCAACTTCTTCAGAGAACTTGTGTAAAGTCCAGCACACCCGATATCGTCCCAAACCATCGGTTTTAAAATCCTTACAATATTCTCTGACTCTCGTGTAAGAGGAAAACCTAGAACTGCGTGTATTGATGTTAAAAAGGAGACATGATTAAATGGCTGGATCGTGCTAATTTATTGTTCTCACGTTGTACTTCAGTAAGGTTTTAATCACCTCAATAGACTTGTGTGTTATGAAAACAAATAAAATTCATGGAAAATTGGCACAAAGACACAATTATTTACTGAAAATATTTAATGAATGCTCAATTGAATTGATGCATTATAATATGCAAAATAACCCATTGAGTATGCAGTGTCAAATCTTTTTTGAATTTCAGATCTGAATTACATCAAAATGATTGTTATAAATACATGTATTTGATTTGAACTTACTTGAAATGAATGATCATAATTTTGAGCAAAAATAGAATTAAATAGAGCATTTATGAAAAATGAAGAAATATAAAAGGTAAATATCATACACATTGTAGTTAGCAGATAAAAGAACTCTAGAATAAAAGCATACAAATCCTGTATAGACAATTTGTAATTAACGACATGATGTTTGTGAAATATCAATGAATAGTGTTTGCCTTTTATTCTATATTGTGTCAACTACTTTCCCAGTCTTGATGGGAATTGATTACAAGCTAATGCTTACATGTAGTGAAATGCATGCTCAATTGTTTAACAGTCTGTTATTATTGGGCTCTGTGTCCGAGACACATTTTGGCTACTGACTATTAAAGACCTAGACTACTTTTAAATTTGTATATAAGGTTTTGTGAAATTTCAATTTCAATGAAATGATTAGTGTTTGCCTTTTATTCTATATTGTGCCAACTTCTTTCCATGTGACTATAGTTACTATCTTATCATTTTTTAAATTTGAATTTGCAATTCAGGTGTTCATAATTGTATAAATTTATATAAATGGTTCATCCATGGACAATTTAAGTTGTACACTGAAGTTTGTTGCTTGCTTTTGCAGTTGGTCAAAAGATTAATGAGAGGTGAGATAAGATTTCAAAACTATCAATTAATCTATTTTACAGATTTACAAACCGTATATCAGTTGGCAAATTCATTGATTTCATTATACTTAATAATTAAAGACCATTCACATTTCACTTATTCTCCACAATTTAAAATGATCAATACAATGAAACATTTTAACCTATGCAACGCTTATGAATATATTGATTATGAAATATGTGTCCCAAAACAGAATTCAAACAAACGTTTAGATGCCTGTTCTGTCCAACCGTTACATACGTTCCCTATTCTTATTAATTGGTTCCAACATGCATCAACAATTATAACTTCTAGATTTTATTTTATCCTGGAATATATGAACATAGCATCAACATCCAGTACACAGTGACACCAAATTAATAGAGTACGCACCATTAAAACATGTGTGAAAGATTTATTCATTCAATAATACATGATACATTGCAAACATTCCTTAAATATTTGTTTTTCTGATTCACAAAAAAAGCTATAAAATTTTTTTTAAAAAGAAGCAAATTCTGAGATGATTGTTAAATTGATGTTTTATTGATACTTAACTCACATGAATGAACATTGCATTTATATATTGAGCAAATAATAAATCAGAGGTAATTTAAGTTACAAATTTCTGTCCAATGTTACATACGTTCCCCCCAATACATGTCCTACTTTACGACCTCTGCAAAGTTAACATGAAATCACACTTATCTTTTCCCTCATAAATATATAGAATATAGATATTGGACAAGCAAAGGGAGAAATTTGATTGCTCTAGGGGTGAAAACAATTTTGACCATATTTACATCACAGAAGTACCCACTTAACATGGAAATGCCCATATACAAAGACTTTAGCACATGATTCCATGAGAAAATGAGAAATAAGTGATATTTTTCCCTTTCTCTCACGAGCACCGGCCTAATCACAAGAACAACCGAGCAGGTGAAAGATATGGGGCGTCACCATCGCCAATTTGGCCGGTAAATGCGCACGCTGGGCTCCAGATGGTTAATGGCCGATCCCATGCTGCTCCCCAAATGCATGACAGCCCTCCCGTGACAACAAAAACTCCCAAATTTCTCATTTTCACAAAAACCACCAACTCCAGACAAAACAAGTGCCTGGGAAAACCGGAATACACATGGCAGATGTAGGAAAGATCATTGGTAGCGCATGCAGCAGACTCCAGTTATCATAGGCAAAAATCATCAATTCGCTGAGAGCCAAAAGGGAGCAATAGAGGAGGCTGAATATCGATAAAACATGAAAAATACAGAAATATTTGAATTTTCCCAAATGGAAGATCCTGATAGTTGCAATGTTACATTATTAAAGGGGTTTGCACTTTAAATGCTCTCATACTCCTCTAAAACTAGCAATAAGTGTAAAACTTTGGACTGGTTTTTGATGCCACATGTTTGTGGAGTCCCATATACCCATATCTGTGTCCAGAGCTTTTTCATTGTTTGTGATTTTCTGCAATATTTATTAATTTTGATTTGATGATTCTAAAAGCTTACTGTACTTTCATCTAATAATTCCTACATAGTATTTGTACTTCATAATGAACCATTCATCAGCATAACATCTGGACAATTCTATCCCAGACATTTCTAGTCATATCCATTCACAAGGTGACTGCATGAACAGCACTCAACAACATCATCTTTAACTCATTTCTCCAAGATTTTAGTAAACATCCTTCTCGCTCTCGGACGACAATATGTACAGTTGGAGACAGGAGAACGATTCCAGTCAGTCGTGACGACGTCGAATCACGATTGGACACCGGAGAATCTTGTTTTTTAATTTTGATGACCACCGAATCTACTTGTTAACCTCTATTCGAGTTCGTTCTGTGACAGCCCGGGGATATTATGTGTCTAATCTAATTGGCTCTTTGTGATGAAGTTAGATCTTTGTTACACTCTACATCTAGGCTAGTGGTTTCGCTGGGATAGGATAGCCACTAAGAAGATCGTGGAATGCTTTCATTTGTCTTCTGCCTATCTCTCTCTCTCTCTCTCTCTCTCCCTCTCTCACTTACTCTTTTTCTCTCCTCTCTCTTCTCACTCTTCAATTGTTGTCTTGCTTTGAGTCTTTGTATTATTTTCTCTAGCATATATCCTCCTTTCTTACCTTATTTTCTATTTTCTCTTTCCCTTTTTCTCTCCCTCTGCCTCACATGTCCTCTCCCTCACACATTCCCACTCTCACTTTACCATCATTGACATCTCTCTCTCTCTCTCTCTCTCTCTCTCTCTCTTTTGCTGCCAGTGTAATCTACGTGTATATCATTTTCAAGGGCAATTCAATTAGTTTAAAAGCCATTCCATAATTATAGGTAGGCAATTTTCTAAATTGGTTTAAAAGTAAAATAGCAGAAGAAAGATGTAGTGAGTATTAGGAAAAGCACAAATGTTACATTGTGTATCTCACACAAACTCATAAAAAATACAAAAAATGGACATATAAGAAATAATCTGCAGCCTACGCATACACAATCTCTCTCTCTCTATCCCTCTCATCTCTGCTTCACTTTGCAATATCTCACCATTTTAAATGCAGTATGTTATGCACTATGTTCACATATTATAGACTTGGATGACTGTAATAGACCCTTTTTGACAGACACGTTGCAAACGGCTCCCCCTTTTAAATGCATTATGTTCAAATTTACACTCGAGTGAGTGACTGTAATGGATTCTTCTTGGACGGCATATCAAATTATACATGCATGTAGCATTTACAAACTCACAACATGCCCGAGAACACAACATGAAGCTACAGCTTGCGACTTGCTTATAAGTCAACAATAAAAATAGCACTTCACTAACCAGAATGAAATTCATGTTTGAGATAAAGAAGTACAGAACAGCCAAACTAATGGCAGTGCCATAGACCGCGTTCTCACTCACTTTGAAAGTGGTCTTAGTTAGACCGCTCCAGACCGCTCCAGAGGAACGGGTCTTGAGGAACGGTTTGCGAGCGTTCACACTCCGAGCAGTTTTTATGGCTCAAACCGCTCCACGAGTCAAAGTGGTCTTGTTGCTATGGCAGCTCAGGTAGGCGGGTCAATTTTTTCGCGCGCGGAATCCAAACCCTATGTCACCTGACGTCCCGTTCGCGACGCGTCCCGTATACATGTATATGTGTAGTGCCTGCCCGATCGCTCATCGCGCGGAACGTCACTTCCGTTCAAAGTACGCTTTCCGTTCACATTGCACGTTAGAGCGCTCTGGAGCGCTCTTAATAAGACCCGCTCCTCAAGACTTCTGGAGCGGTCCAGAAGTCCGCTTCTTGGACCACTTTGAGCGTTCTCACTCACCTAAGAACCGCTCCTGAGGAGCGGGTCTTAATTAGAGCGCTCCAGAGTGCTCCAACGAAGTGAGTGAGAACGGGGTCTTAGATGTAGGCTCAGCCCTCAAGTGAGCTGTATTATATAGTCCTTTGGATAGGATTTCAAGACCTAGGTCACTTTTTTTGCTGCTTACCAATCTTACTTATATTTTCTATGAGGAGGGTAGTATTATTATTATTATTATGAATGACTGTTAATCTCTAAGCAGACAGTGTACTTTTAAATACTTGAATACTTAATGGTTTAATCTATTACCTAAAAAAGAGCTCTAAACATGTTGTAGCCCAATATGTTTTGAACAATATGAAGTCTGAAACACAAAGAGGGATCCAATCTGAAATTATGCAGTCACCTGAAAACTGTCATTCCTGTTTTTAAGCATTTGAAGTAAAAAAAATAAATAAAATCACCATTAAACCAACAATTCAATCAGAACAACCCATTCAACATGGCCGACACCACGGCCCTGTTTCACAAAACTTAACATCAATAACAAATGCTAAATTTCTTTGACAAATTAGCTCTCAGCCAATCAAATGCCACGGTTTCAGTAGCTCATAACAGTTATTGTAATTTGTTATTGATAGCAAGTTTTATAAAACAGGGCTCCTGGAATACTTCTACACCACCAACATCCAGGGGGGTGTTTCACAAAGCCTTTTTTCAATGACAAATTACAAAAATCAGTGACAAATCTGCCGATCAACCAATCAGAAGCAAGGATTTCAGTAGCTTATATAACAAAAACTGACATTTGTCACTGATGACAAGTTTTGTGAAACACCCCCCAGAAGCACACACACATCAAAGCCCTCACCTCTGGGTTGCCTCCGACCATGATGTTGGTAGACTCCAGCCTGGTGTGGACCACGTTGTTCTCGTGGAGGAAGGCCAGGCCCTGGGATATCTGGCAGGACAGGGAGTGGAGGGTGGACTCGCTGAACTTGTCCAGGAACTTGGGCAGGAACTGCTGCAGGCTACCATGCTGGTAGTAGGTGGTGCAGATATATCTGAGAAGAGAGAGAGAGAGAGAGAGAGAGAGAGAGAGGTTGAAAAATTTGAGGTTAGAAGGAGGACAATGGTGATAATGATGATGGCCATGATGATGATAATGACTCAAAGTATCTATAAGGTGTCATGTACATGTAGAAGCACAAAATCCTCTTAAGAAGAAAAATCAGTATCGCTCTTTAATGGTGAAGAAATAACTGTAAGGATGTTGATGATGATGATGATGATGATGATGATGATGATGATGATGATGATGATGATGACAATGGCAACGGCGATGATGATGATGTTGGTAATGATAGTGACTTACAGTATTTATAAGGTGTCATTATATTCAGAAGCACAAAATCTTCTAAAAAAGTCAGTATAGCTCTTAGCATAACAAAAAAATTGTAAGGATGTTGACATGCATGATAACGATGATGATGATATTGATACTGCAGCTGATGCTGATGCTTATGATTCACAGCATTTACATAGTATGGTAATCTGATAACACACATTCCAAGGCTAGCACACCTTCAATTCAAGCATGATGCTTTCCTTATTCATCTAATGAAGATGTGAAAACAGCCAGCCGATCTTGAAAAACTAAAGAACATTGTGCAACACCACAATAATAGTGCTTAACCTATAGTCAAATGCAGCTTGCCTTAATCATTTCGCAGCCATTGGTGGCAAATCTTGCCTTAGAAAAAGCAAAGTAAGTTTGATTCAAATCAGATATACATAACACATGTAACATAAAGTCCTATGATATGAACAATGCATGATCATCAAAAATATTTGGGGGATGATTTTGCATATTAATCAGAAAATAGGTATATTTTGCCATACATGGGTTCAAATAAAATATCCTTGTAATAGTCTGAAGGGTGTCGATTTGGTGCAAAAAATATATATTGATGCCCTTTTAGCCTTTAGCAGATGATAAGTTCTTTTGTGTTATCCAACAACAAAACATGTCTGCTCCATTACTAAACAAATTTGAGTCATTTTACAACAAAACAAACAGACTTTAACCACATATGATCTGTCAGTCATATATGGGACAACAGTAATTTTCATGTTAGCTCATCTGATTATCTTGGCTTTCAACAATTTGCTATTTATATATTTTATTCTTTGTATGAACTGTCATAATCTGTCATGAATCCATTTATCTAATCTGCTTTCACTCAAAGCAACCACCAATTACGAGTGAATTTCCGTAAGCATATATCCTTGAGAATATGTGCTTTTTGTCTTCTTACGGATAAAGTCGAGTCCTGGTCATGCAAATAAATTATGAAAGAAACTGCTAATATCATTCCAGGTACTGAGAAAGGTTGATTATTGAGTTCATGGAAACAATTGTTTTTTGCAAAGGGGCTGTTCATCATAATGATGACAAATTGACTAACTCTTCATGAAAATTCCACATACCAGTATGCAGATAAGGGTGTATTGGACTACACACACATTTGTGGCATCAGAATTTAGTCTACCATTTTAGATTTTTTTTTTCTTCTTCAGTATAGGGCATTTAAAGCCCCACTGCACTTCTTACAGCAACTTGCGCCCTCTACAAACTCATATAGCAAACAATGCCTAATCGAGGACCATTGGTCCCCCATAATCCCCTTTTTCTTATGTTAATTGAGAGCTGATTTGATGAGATAACCACCTGTCAGTGACCATGCAGGAAGGTTGAATCCCTCCTGGCCAAACTAGTGCAGTGGGGCTTTAAAGAGCAATGTTTTTCATGAGACATTGCTACTTTAACGAATATAAAAGGATAATGGAATGTTCTGTTTAATCCATGAGGAATAAAAAGAACAAGACAGCTCATAAATCATCTCCTCGGAGCCAGAAGGAAGTTATCAAATATCAGTCAGAGTCAATGCCCTTCTGGCTCCAAACAGACAAGATCATTCATCACCGTCAGAAGAACCCAAACTTTTCTTTTTTAATGTTTCTTGATATCAAATGTGGCACATTGGTGAGAGAAAAGGGCAAGGGGCGATTAGAAACACAAAGACAAACAGTGAATCCACTTTGGAGGCTCCATTTTGTTTTCATCCAGCCTAGGGTTGTTTATCTGGATATTGGAGTAATCTGTTTATTTGACTATTTCTTCTTTCTCATTTGACTGCCATGAACTTCTAAAATGAAAATTTTAAAGGTATACAGCTGCTATGTGCAAAGATTCCAGGAGATGTCTAAATGTCCTATGTATAAATAGAAAATAACCATTCAAGTATTCAACTTTAGGGACATTTTTTTTTGTCAGTTTTTCAAAAGTGTGAAATATTAAACCATTTTGTAACTGGAAGGAAATGTTTAATTTATTCTCAGTTCTTAGTAAAGAAGAAGAAGAAGAAAAAAAGGAGGGAGAGGAAAAGAAGAAGAAGAAGAAGAAGAAGGTGGAGGAGGAGGAGGAGGAGGAGAAGGAGAAGAAGAAGAAGAAGAAGAAGAAGAAGAAGAAGAAGAAGAAGAAGAAGAAGAAGAAGAAGGAGAAGAAGAAGAAGAAGAAGAAGAAGAAGAAGAAGAAGAAGAAGAGGAAGAAGAAGGAGGAGAAGATAATGAAGAAGAAAAACAAGGAGGAGGAGGAGGAGAAAAAGAAGAAGAAGAAGAAAAAGAAAAAGAAAAAGAAGAAGAAGAAGAAGAAGAAGAAGAAGAAGAAGAAGAAGAAGAAGAAGAAGGAGGAGATGATGATGATGAAGAAGAAAAACAAGAAGAAGGAGAAGGAGGAAGAGAAGAAGAAGATGAAGAAGAAAAACAAGAAGAAGTAGAAGGAGGAAGAGAAGAAGAAGATGATGATGATGAAGAAGAAAAAGAAAAACAAGAAGGAGAAGAAGAAGAGGAGCAGGTGATGGAGACGAAGGAGGAAAGCTTATCATTTTATCCATATCAAGTTACTATGCACAAATACATCACAGGTCACACAATCATAAAACATAGATCTTGTGCATATAAAATAGCTTTTTAATAACCATCCATCTTTTGTTCTTGCTATCCTCGGGAATCTGTTTAAAAATGCATCAAATGCTGTAAAATATCCTACTCAACAGCAATTTCAATACCCTAATGTATTGCCCTCAGACATCGTATACCGGTAATGATTATCATGTCGTTATAATGTACGCATGTTTCAAAGGTGATGCACAAAGCTAATTAAAATGCCATAGAATGACTATGTTAAAGTACATGCAATCACGTTTCATTCAAATACAGATAATCCATGTAGATGTCAATATTTCTTAGGTCTAAACTCTAAAATAAATACCCCCAAAAAATAAAGATCATGAGAAGCATAACACTTTCAGATATCAAGAGTATTTTCAACATCTAGAGAGAAACTTTAACTCTTATGACTTTGGAAGATTGCAGGGCAGCAGATGGGTAGACAGTGTGAAAGAATCACTTTTAAAAGTAAAGAAAGTCTTCAAATCTGCATATTATTTTAAAAAGTCTAAGTTTGGTAGAAACTTATGGACAGCAAGACGATTATCAAATACAAATTAAAAAACATTTTCTTTCAAATGATTGAATTTGTAAATACTGAAAGTCAATTTGGTAAGTGACCTTTGCCAAAAGCTATTTCAAAACAAAGGAATTGATGTACAGAAGAGGCAAAAAAACAATTTTACACACTAAATAGTGACCACTTTCCATGAAATGTTTACAAATTTGTTTTCTCAGGCATCAAATATGATAGAATACACAATCCACCCACTTTCAATTTTCCTTGATTACATTTAATAGTGCCCACACGATGCTGACATGTATACGACTTTCATTTTAGTCAATTCTGATGAATATTCCAATATGCCTTTAATCTCGTTCCTGACCCATATTGCCGCTCTTCCCCGGGGTATATTCAGAACAAAGATTGGATTCATTTGACGACAACGATGCATATCTATATACTCCGAATTATGAAATTCTTTCTCACCAATTTCACTTTAATTCATATTGCTTTGCAGTGTGTGTATGGGATCAGGCAGCTCAAAGCTTGTATTTCATTTTGTCATGCTCCATCTTTTCGCTCAGTGATTACCTGTATACTGTCTTTTCTGTTCTTTTGTTTTTCATCCTGTTAGTTTTTTCATATTCTTTTCTCAATTTGTTATTGTGGTTCCCACATTTTCTGTTAGTCGTTTATTATTCTCCCCTTCATCTACATTTCATTATCTCTTCGTCTGGGTTATTTTTCCTACAATCAATATATACAGTATACATGTATCTCTATCCCTCCCTCTCTCTCTCTCTCTCTCTCTCTCTCTCTCTATCTATCTCTCTCTCTCTCTCTCTCTCTCTCTCTCATTCAATCTACTCTCAATCACTCTATTCTCTAGTTGTTCCCCTCCCTCCTTCTCTCTCTCTCTCTCTCTCTCTCTCTCTTCTGTTCATCCTATCCCCTTTCTCAATTTCTCCTTTGAGGTAGTACATTGCATGTGTGTGCTATTGATATCTTGTGAAATTTCTCTCTCTCTCTTTCCACCCCCCCCCCCCTCCCTCTCTCTGTCTCTGTCTCTGTCTCTGTCTCTGTCTCTCTCCCTCTCTCTGTCTCTGTCTCTGTCACTGTTTCTCTTTCTTTCTGTCTCTCCCTCTCTCTCTCTCCATCTTTTCCCTCATTCTCTTTCTTCGTCTGCTTATAACAAGGTAAACTTCCCCTTTCCTTTCCTTTCCTTCCATCAGTACCAACACATCCAAGAAGAACAGTCGCCATTCAGGGATGTTTTCCTTGGCAATGAATGAACATTCCCTACCCAAACACCACTCCACTCCTCAAGTTCTACCAAGCGCTTCATCTGAAAGTCAGATATCCTCCATGACTTGCAGATGTTCCTGCTAGCGCTGGATCAATATCAGCTTGTCTTCGTTCACCGTTTATCGACATTCACGGCAGACTCATGCTACTACTACCTGGAGAATGCACAACTACATGTACTGCAAACGCAAGAACATCAAAACAATTTTTTACAACTGTATCCTCCATGGACATTTAGATGGA